CAGTATTAAGTATCCAGGGGTGCAGATAACGAACAATCTGAACTGGTCTCTCCACATCTGATCCTTAGTGAAGACTGCAAACCAGTGTCTGCATTTCCCACATCGGATGAGGAGAGCACATCTTTCTCCTTCTGTCCTAACCACCTTTTACAGTGCTACAATTGAAAGCATTTTAGCAAACTGCATTGCTGTCTGGTTTGGTGGCAGCAGAGTCTCAGATAGAAAGTCCATACAGAGAGTGGTAAGGACAGTGGAGAAGATCATAGGAAGCTCACTCCCTGGTATTCAGGATGCTGCTTATAAGCGCTATGTGCTTAGACCTCAAAGCATTGTTAAAAACCCCACACACAGCCACTCTATGGTCTGTTTCTATTGCTCCCTTCTGGGAGGAGGTTTCAAAGTGTTTCTAGCAGGTTCTACCCGATTCTGTAATAGCTTTGTTCCCTATGCCATCCGTCTGGTAAACTTGCAAGATTCATTTTTCTTGCCATGCATATGTATACATAATCTGAATTAGACTGTGTTGTTTCTCTGTGTCTTATAATATATGTGGATATATGCATAATATTTGTATTTATTTATTTTTGTCATATTTATGTAGTGTATATTGGAGGTGCTGACCCTTTGAGAGCTGTATGCAATGAAATTTCATTTTAATGTATGTCAATTAGTGTACATTCAAAATGACAATAAAAGTATTCTATTCTATTCTGTTCTGTTCTGTTCTAGTACTCTGGATTTGTCACAGAAGGGGGTACATAAGTAGATGACAGATCTGATTCCAACCTTGTGCTTCTAATACAGATGAGAATTATCTGTTAGGCAGTCCTGGCAGACTATATAATAAATACAATGGAACCTAAGAACCCTAACCCTATGGTACTAATTACTAACTTGGCTACAAAAAAAATGGTTCACCACTAGAGGACATCCAAGAGACTTCATTATCCCCTTCTGCCATCTAGTGGCCATATGGAATTTTGCAACCCAAACATGGTTGCCCTAGTCATGTACTGTATACAGTATAAATAGTTATTTTCTACATTTCTAACTTAATTTCTACTAATCTTGTTAGTTTCCACAATATGCTCATGAGTGCTTAGTCTAACTGAAACAAATATTACTAGTACAAAACTTTCTATCTAATAAAATAAATGTTATCCCAAATAGTTTTGATATTTGAGAAGTATTTAATATCCTTTACATTTGAGAAGAAAATCAGTGGTACAGTATATTACAGGCAGTTGCAAAATTAAACCAGCCTGGTACTGTATATATCTTATAGTGTTCTAAACTTGTCCTTACACTTTCACGTAAAGATTTTTTTCCATGTTGGAGATGCAAAACATGATAGACTTCACATCTGGGACAAATCATTCTGTCAGCCTAACTCATCTTGGAAAATCTTGGCAGATTTTGCTGAGGTTTTCTAGGCAGAAATGAGAACCTGGACAATATAGAGAGGAGCAGAGTAGAAGAAGGCTTGTTGACAAAGGTAAGAGAGTAAATTACAAGAGAATATGGGGAATGGTGTGTGTGTGTGTGTGTGTGTGTGTTTGTGTGTGGATGTGTGTGTGTGAAAGAAAGAGAGACAAGAGACAGAGAATTTTGCAACCGACCTAGAATGCTTGGAAATGTATGTAGGAAAACAAGTCCTTCTTAAAAATGCTCCGTGATCATATGCCAGGTTTGGATTCTAAAGCTTCAGGAAACCTACAAGAAATATATGAGCAAAGACTGCCTTTCCATTTGTATTCACCAGCAGCTAATATTTCAAGATATAGACCTTCTAATACAGTGGTTCTCAACCTTTTTAATGCTGCGACCCCCAACCGGTCGTAAGTTGAGGACTACTCAACCGGTCGTAAGTCGAGGACTACTCAACTGGTGCAGCACCGTTTGCAGAATGGGACTTTTGGCGGGCTCAGCAGGGCAGAGACAGCTGGACAATTCCTATTGGCTTTTGAAAGCCAATAGAATTAGACTCTATTCAAGAGAGTCTATTCTATTGGCTTTCAAAAGCCAATAGAATAAAAGAGTAGCACAGCTAAGGAAAAGGGGGGGAAAATGGCGGACTGCATTGTTTGGTGACCCCTGTGAAATGGTTGTTTGACCCCAAATGGGGTCCCGACCCACAGGTTGAGAACCACTGTTCTAATAGGTTTAGTGATTAAGGTCACAGCAGCAAGCCATTTCAGCAGTTCTGCATCTGGGTGGTGATTACTGCAGTTACCAATAGGTTTCGAGGCCCAATTTAGAGTACGAGTACTTCCCTCTAATGGCATAGATATAGTCCTCCTTTAGTGACTGCCTTGTTTAGAAATCAATCACAGTTATGATGGTGATAAAAAAGTAACTTGATGACCAATCCTCAAATTTATTATTTTTGCAAGACTATAAAGGAAAGCTGAAGTAAGATCATAAGCGCAGTCACAGTTTCACTTAGTGATTGCTTTTCTTAATGACCAAGTTGTTGGTCAGAATAGCATATAGTTTAACTATATACTGTGCAAAGAAGTCTTATCTAGCTTCATTGGATGATCCTGAGTTCTAATGTTATAACAGAAGGAGAAAAAAAATCATGCCCCTACATTTACTACTAAGCTACAAAACCAAAAAGATAGCCATTCCTCAGATGGGAAAGTTGCTATCTGTTTGAGAAGTCCTTTATTATTCTAAGCAACAGCACCTAGCTGATCTACTCCTTGTTGAACATCCTGAAGCTACACTTGGTTCAAGATATAGCGGTGCAGGCAACAACAGGCATACTCATGTGGTCATGTGTCACCACTGCGGTGCCAGCTGCAAGAGTTGCCAGTTGGCTTCTAATTCAAATTGCTGATGATAATTTATAAAGCCCTCCATGACATAGGACCTGGTACCTGAAGAACCATCATCAAAACTGACACCAGCCAGACCATGGAAAAACTTGAAGAAGTAGTGCAAGATTGGAAGATATGGAGAGGCCATAGAATTGCCAAAGGTCAGACACAACTGAATGGATAACATCATCATCATTTGAAGAACTGTCTATCTCCAACTGTTTCTGTCCACTCTTCTTAGGAAGAATGGATGTACTACATTGCCTCTCAATTATACTTTGATATCTTGATATCAGGTCTTCCCTGTCACTTCCCCACTCTTTGGAGCAGAACCCCTTCAGAGTTATGGATGATGCCCACTTTCCTGGGGTTCTGGAAAACCCTTAGGATCTGGTTTTGCTCCCAGGCCTGGGGTATTTCTGGGTGGGCTCTGCTGTGTTTTTATTATTATGGTTTTTAATCTGGGCTATCATGTTTGCTTTATGTTTTTAACTGTAGGTAGATAGGTAGGTAGGTAGGTAGGTAGGTAGGAAATCTAGTTAATATTTGGATGGTATATATCTTAGAGCTGTGCTGTAGACTGAAATTCAAAAATATATCTTGGAAGAGGATGGTAGCAAATCACTTTCACACTGTTGTCAAGGTAAAAGAAAAATCAACTTGAGGGAATCTTTACTTTCTAACTGCAAGCATAGGCATGCCCAGCTTTGTGTAAAAGTGACAAAATCACTGCTAGTATAGTTTTGAAACCAATTGAACCTTAATCAGTCTTCAGTCAATGGTTTATTGGTAAATGAACAAGGAAGTTTTTTCTTTCTTTTACAGGATGGGGCAACAGGAGGTAGCCCCAGGCATGAGAGAGTCTGTCTCAAGAATCCTAGCAAGTATTTGAGGCACTTTAGGAGTTAAGGTTGTGTTAGGAAAAGCAGGATGAGTCACTGCTTATCAGCCAATGACACATCCTCTTTGCTATCTGAATATATATTTTGCTTAACTGAGAGAGATAATATCTCTGCAGCTAATCAGCCTAAGTTATTTACATAGCTAGGCAAAAGAGTGCTTTGCCAACTTGCTGGCTTTGAAGTTCAGTTTTTTTTTAAGACTGGCTCAGAGATGGAATGCAGATGGATTTACCACCCAAAACCATGCAAACCTAGATCATATTATTTGCACATGGACAGACTGCCTCACCCCCCCTCCCCTTGGAGCCTTGTACTCTTTATATAATGGTTTAACAGCTAAATGCTTACTGAGAGCTAAAAGGATGCACAGATCTAAGATGTATGTAATTTGTAAGTCTTCTGGAAAATAACTTTGGCAGAAATGATGAAAGGAACCTGAGAATTCCTAGTCCCTCTCAAGCCACCCAATATATTCCATAGAGATGTTTGGAACATTAATTAACAAAGCAAGTATTATTCTGCGTCAGCATTGCCACAATAGGGGATTGCCTTAACTCCATGTAAGTAAAATGTATCCAGGGGTTTTGTGTGCAAATGCATTGTCAGTGGTAGCTTGGGTTATAGACCATGAAAGAGTCCAGATGGCAGTTAACTCACTAAAAACCTCCAGAGTAAGAACTGGGTCTTGAACCATCTGTTTACTAAACAGAACTCTACATCCAAGCAATATTTCTCCAACCTTTTCCTGCTGTTCCTCAAATTCCTCCCTTTAACTCTCTCCCATTCCTCAAATCTAGCCTGCTTCTATTCTTGTATTTTTAATATCTATGTCTCAAGAGCTACACAAATGTCATTTAGATGTAGGAGGAGGATGAAGAGTTACTACATCTGTCAATGTTTGTTTGTTTGTTTCTGAAGATTTAATGCTAGGAAAACTTGCTATCTATAAACTTGGGTGCCATTCAAGGTGCTGGTTGTCACCTTTAAAGCCCTTCATGGTTCAAGAGCTGTTTTTTGCAAAAGTGTCCTCAGTAGCATATGCTCATTCTATAACAGTGATGGTGAACCTGTTAGAGACCGAGTGCCCAAACTGCAACCCAAACCCCACTTATTTATTGCCAGGTGCCAGGTGGGTGTGACCCACTGGATGGATGTGGCTGTGGTGGTCATGGCAGATTGGGTGGGTGTGGCCAAGGTGGGCGTGATCACCTCAATGTTGCTCATGGGGAGGGACGCCTGTGGGGGCCGGGCAGGGTTGGGGGAGATCCAGGGGGTCTCTGGTAGGTGGGGTGGTGGGCAGGAGGCTCATCCTGTGAGGTGAGACGAAGCAAGGCAAGGTGAGGTAGGGCGGGGTGCCATTGTTACAGGGCAAGGTGAAGCAGGGGCCGGGGCGGCTGTTGCCTGACACCATCAGCCACTGCACACAGAGGCCAGCGACCGCATGGGTGCTGGGATGCATCCAGCTATGTGGGACCTCAGCAAGTTAGCAGGCGGCTGGTTGAAGAGGGATGGAGAATGCTATCTTTAGGGACCACAAAAACAAATCTTCTCAACTACAGCTCCCTTCCTGTGAATCAGCAATCCTTTGCTAATTTTTAGGAAGGTTGTTCAAGTGGGGTTGTGCTAGCAGGCCTTGGGGGCTGGGATGCTGTGAAATTCTGCCCTCTGTTTTTTCTTGGGTTTGTTTCCATTGTAGTTGCATGCTGTTTTTTTTCCTGTCTTTTATGTTTTAGCCAGATTTACCTATGTTTAGGATAAATCCCACTCAGAGTTAATTTAGTTTTTAAAGGACTTATATGCCTATCTATCTCATATAATGACTTTAGGCAGTTCATAAGAACCTAGAAAAACATGGCTAAAACCAAAAAACGTTTTCTCCCAGGCACCAGTCCAAACATCCTCCCAACTAAACCTCCATCCTAACCCAATTCTTAGGGGAAGAGCCAGGTTTTCATGGCCCTCTAGAAGACTAAATCAGTATAGATCCCTTGCATCTTAGGTGGGAGTCAGTTTGAATGAGCTGGAGTGGCCACAAAGAAAGCACATCTTCAGGGTCCTATCAGGTGGCAACATTTGAGGGAGGAGACCTAGACCTATTTGAATTGTAATGGCCTATAAGCCTCAGAAGTAAATAAATCTAAATAACCTTTATCAAGAGGGTGGGACTGAGGGTCAAAAAAACTGAAGCCCTGCCCCTTTTTTCACATTAATTGCAAGTGATACATATAATAAATAGGTGAGGCTTTGATCACTCAGAAGTGACTGCCATCCTGTCTTTTTATTTTTAACTGCCCCATCTCCCAAAGACCCCTTTGTCAATAACAACAAAAATATCTTGAAGGAAAACTACAAATCAAAGTTCTGTGAAACAGAAAGATGTGTATTTACATTGCATTTGGCACATCCTAAAGTCTTAGTACTGTACATTTTCCAATTTTCCATTGGATTCTCTTCCCCCATTGTAAAAAAGTGGGTGTGTCAGTGTGATGTTTATTTCATTTGTTTTGCAGCCTATCTCCTGGAGAGTGGTTAGTATATGGCCAGCACTCCCAAAATCTAATTTGCAGTCTCAGAGGATGGTACTAACAAGAATAGTAACAGGATTGAGGTTCTGTGTGTGGTTAGTGGCATTTTCCTTCATAAGTCATGTCTACAAGTTTAGAGCCAAGGAAGGCATGATGTTGTTTACTCAATTAGCTAAAACGTCCCTATGCTTTAAAAGTAAGTAGAATCTGTGAGACTCCCAGATAGGATTGGGACTGCAGGATAGGCAGAAGCTTAAAATCCTTTATGCTCCTCCGAACAATTTTAGGCCAGATTTAGATTCTTTATGGCTGCTCTTTACTTTTAAAAAAGCAGAAACAAGTTATACAATATGTCACCAACTGCTGGACAGTAGGACCCGGATAGCTCCAGAAGCGAATCCTAAGCAAAGGTAAAGGTAAAAGGTTTCCCCTATTCAGTTGTTTCCAACTCTAAGGCAGGGGTTCTCAACCTTGGCAACTTTAAGACTTGTGGACTTCAACTCCCAGAATTCCTCAGCCAGCTTTGCATGGGGCAAAGGCATGGGGCTCATCTCCAAGGAAGCCAGCATTGTCTGAAGACAATTTCTGTGGTCATGTGACCAGCCTGGTTATATTTATCTATACTTATTTATCTACTTGCATTTGCATGCTTTTGAACTGCTAGAAGGGTAGGAGCTGGGGCAAGTAACTCATCCAATTGCACAGAGCTTGGGTCTTGAACCCAGGCTGTCAACTCTCCAGCTGATAAGGTCAGCATCTTTAACCTCTGAGTCATCGCATGCCTTCCCCCCCCCCCACCAATCTGAACCCGAGCAAACTAAAATAAGACTGAATTTCTTTCTGCAGTGTTAACCCTACCCAACACCACCCTTTCTAAAGCCTCTGCCTGAGTCTGAACCACACTGTATCTCTCAAATGTCATGCTGTAGCTTTTATCCACTTTCATGATAGCCTGGCCTTTTGGCTTTTTTTTTAATTTTATTTTATATCTTAGTGATATGGAATGCTGCTCCCACATTCCTGGCTTATGGAATTGTATAGTTTTCCATGGCAACTAAAGTATGATGGAGTTTATTTTTTAAATGCATAGAAATTTGTAAATTAATATTAGTTAGTAGAGACCTAATGTGCATAGGACAAGAAATGTCTGACATATGGAGTGACATAGTTTTCTGACAAGCATAGCAATAGAGACTGAATGTTGACTGAAACCATTGGGTTTTCTGATACAAAGGCATTTTGAAGAAACTAGCTGTTGTAGCTTTGCTCTCAACTTTGCTTCCAGATGACACGGGGCCTTGCCAGTCATTAAGAAATGAAAATAAATTAGATTTAAAATAAAATTATATTAGAAAATAGATTAGCATGAAAGCCAGACTATGGACCAATTCCCCTCTCTCAGCCCAGCCCACCTCACAGCGTTGTTTTTGTGGGGAAAAACAGGAGACGGAAAGAATATTATGTATGTTTGTCATCTTGAGATACTTATAAAGTAATAAAGGTGGGATGAAAATCAAACAAATAAATATTCTACTCTGCAAAACAATGTACCAACTGGTTGATCTCAAATCTCACTGCCTTTAAAACAAGTATGGAACCCTGTGGCCCTCCACAACTACAATGCTCCAAATCCTTCACCACTGCCTATTCTAAGTGCATAGCCATTCCCTGCGGTACAGTTCAGCAACATCTGGAGGATCTTAGATTCTAAATCCCTGTTCTAACATTTCTGAAATAACAGGAAAAGGTGTAACTATTGCAGCTCTTTTCTGTTGCTTCACCAGTTACTGATGATAATTCCTCAATTCCATCAAAGCAGTTTGAAATCGATTTAGAATTGTCTTTGTGCCTGATAGCTGAGACCCCCATCAGTGCTCTCTCCAACTGATGAGTGTTATAAGTGACTGCAGCCAGTCCTTATCAATCATTTGCTACAAGCCTTGGAGAAACACACATCCTTTCTCCTCTCCTCCCCCTTATGTCCATCCATTTTGCTTTAATGGTGAGCTATACAGTGAGCAGGAGTCCAGAGGAAATTTCCAGTCCCACAGGGCACCATTACTATACTGAGTATAAAACCATCAGATGGTTCTATATTGACAATTCTGTTTTCCAATAACTCAGTCAGAGCTGAATTCTTCAGTAGTATCTGGAGAAAGGAGAGGGAGAGATAAGCATAAATGATCCAGACAGAATTTAAAATGCAACCAGTTTGATACAGGCTATTTTCATTGTTTTCACATTCTTGCAACATGTCCAGATGTGCAATAGCTCAGGCATAAGGACAAGGATGAAACTGACAAGAGTAGTGCACCTTGCTTTGTGTGGAGTTGCATGGACTGTCTCGAACTATAGTAGCTTGTCTGAATTCGTGAAATGTGAGAATTCCCCCTAATAAGCAAATGGACTGGTACCGTGTAGATCTTCAAAGAAGTACTCCACTGAGACTTCAATCAAACGCACCTTTGAACTAAAGGCATAAGATTAAGGATTTTTCTTCATTGCAGTGAACTAGCATCACCACTTTGGTGGAAAAAATGGCTTCTACAATGTGCTGTTGAGTTTTTGTTGAGATAGACACTTCGCTGCATCAATAAGAATGAAGCAATGTAACTTCATCAGACAAGGAACCTCACTCCAGGGATCACAAGTGATTTTCACACTTTGCAAACAAACTACTCAAAGTATCTTGAGTTGCCAAAGAAAAGTCTGGCTTTTCTTTAATTTCAAATAAAGCTTTGCAGAACCAAATTATCATCATCACCATCACCACCATCATCATTGTCATCCTTGATTCTGGAAATGAGCCAGTATTATCTGATCAGAAGGGGCATACGGTCCTTGTTTAAAGATGATACTAGACAAGGAGAAGACTGGCAGAAAAGATGGGCTGACGGGGTTGAGGGATACAAGAAACTCTAGGAAAAACCTGTAAGCACTTATCATAGTAGACATAGAAGAGCATTTATTTTTGATAGCTCCTATTGGAACAATAACTGGCATCTGGCAACATATATTTTTTTGTCATTTGAAACATACAATTCTTTACCTTATTCGCAGGGAATTCTGTCATATCAAGACTGTGGGATGTAGAAGGCAAAGCAGGCTATAACAAGTCTCCAAAATTCCCTCTTCAATGTATCCCCTAGCATGCTATGCTTTTATTCAGGCCTGATAATAAAAGTAGAAGCTCAGTTTTCAAGAATGTTTATCAATATAACTGTCTCAGGCTTTTGTTCTTATTGGCTAGTTTTAGAAGTTTGTTTGTTTTTGTTTTAACTTCTCACCCCATATACTTCCTTTTTAAAAAGTCTGGTATAATTTAAGGATTATTCCAATTATTCATATGTAGCGAACATTTCCACAACACAGTCAGCTAGCATGCTTTTATTTCTTCATATCAGGACACGACGCAAGACAAAATACTCCATTTAACTCATCTAAATTAAGGAAGAGGAGAGAGTTAACCTTTTTTTTATTTTGGACTAATCTTCTCAACTTTCTTAATATTGGGGGGAGTGGATTTTGCTTAATAGATATATTTAAATTATATGAATAATCTCTTTGCTGCATGGAAAATGGCAAACTGATCACAAGCCCCTTTGTTAAGATTTTCTTCAATCATACCACACTAAGCCAAAATGTGACTTGCTTGCATATGACTTAGCCTTGCTGTGTGAATTTGGTCAGTGGTTGGAAACATGGCTTATAGCTTAGCATGCTGTATGAACTCAGCCAACTGTAATTTATTGCATAAATATGGTTTACTACAACATGTGCTTTTAGTTCTAGGATAAAGGTCTAAATTAAATATTTGTAGAGTTTCTGAAACTTAGAACAAGAAGCCCATTTAAGGAAATGAGCCCTTCAGGTGTCAGTTTGCCCACTTGACCTAAATTGAACCCTTAAAAGGTCAAGATGATTTGCTTTATGTTTCATGTTTCTAATATAAAAGAGAAAGAAAACTAAACATTGCTTAGCTTCTCTACGGTTTCTGACTGCAGCACCCTTCCAGATTGTGTTTTAGTCCCTTAATCCCCCATTCATATTCAGTTCTGTCCTTGATAGAAGAGGCAGACGTCATTCAACATGTGGTATAGCTTTGTAGCATACAATCTACCATTTTTAAGCAAGTCTTTGATCCTGCTATTCATGCTGAATTCCAAGTCATCTCTTTATAATAAAGAGCTGGGGCAATATTCACGACTTGTCTATCAACCCTTGGCATTTTCTTACAAGCAGGTCATGAGATGATAATGAGACTCATCCTTCAAACCACAAGTTAAGAAATACAGAGCTTTTTTTGTACCAGATGAAATTGTACCAGACCAAATTTACCTCATAAACATTACTTTATACTTGCTGTTCTTGAAAGCAAATTTTTCATTTAGTATCCATCAGAATCTGTTTTTATAGTGTCCATCAGAAAACTATTGATACAGCTGTTGAAAAAAACGAGCATAATGAAATCCACATAAATGCTCGGGTGCAGCTGCTATGAACAAAGCAATGTTTTCTTTTGTAACGCCATCTGATAAGAACAAAATTTGCAGCTGAGCTTTGCTGATAAATGTTTGTTTCTGGTTATTTCAGGAAAAGAAAAATTGTATATAAGTATATGTAACCTCGACTAAATTTGATGGATGTTTCAGAGAAACACCACAATATTACTAGAAATTGCAACAATTGCAAAATTTAGAACTAGAGGTATTTTGGAGGAAGAAAATCTAATTCATGGTAGACTTCCTGAGCATAGCTCTTGACTTCCAAAAGAGCCATAGATAAAGTCTTTTCTGCTTTCATTGCCTTGGCAATTCCATTATTTTCTCATAAGATCCTCCTTTTAAACTGGAAGAACTGGAGTAACCATTTTACATGTTTCTCTAATTTACAGTGGGGCCAACAAAGAAGGTGTTCGGAAGGAAGCTCCAGGGCCCCATGTAAGAGTGGAGCCTCAAATATATGCAAGCTGATTTACTGTGTCTCCAACTTAGGGAAGTAATACACTTTCTAGATACAGTATCTAGCTCAGTAAAATTACCGAGTCCAGATTCTAAAAGAATTTAACTGTATCATTATGATCACATTTCCTTTTTATGTTCTATCAAGTTTTAATGGTTTTGAATAGCTTGAGCTATACATCATTTAGCCTAGCATTATCTAATCTCCAACATACTCCAACCAATCTGGTGCTGTCAGGAGACACTGAACCACAATTCTCATCTTTGTTAGACAGTATAGCCTTTGGCCATTGAGGAAGCTCTTCTTACAGAAGGCAGCTGTCCAGGATCTCAGGCAAATCTCTTCACCTTCTCCTGCTATTTGATGCCTCTGATTGGAGAAATAAGAGCCCTGCCTGAATCAAATCAGGCCTAAGGACAAATCAATCCCAGAGCCAGCAATACTGAGCAAAGGGATACATTCAGAACACAGGATTGCAGAGGGGTGGAGGAGAGGAGTGATCACTCCTTTCTTTTCCAAAGAGCAGATATTTAAAGAATACTATTTGTGAACAAGTATGCAATGAACAGCTGTCAGAACTAATAGCTATTATCGCAATCTTCCATGAATTTGTCCAATTCTCTTTTGAAGTCATGCTTAAATCTAGTGTTTAAAGCAATGGACTAGGAAGAGAGAGACCGGTGTTCAAGCCATTCTCTGCTTTGAAAGCTCATTGAGTGATTTTGCTGCTCTCTTTCAGCCCAACTTCCTTTTCAAGTTTATTATTGGGGAACAAATTGGAGGAAAAATAAAGATAGTTATTGACTTATGACTGTAGCAATTTGTGATGGTCGTAAAGCGGGTCACCATGCAATTGTGTCCAATCTTAGCTTTTTGTGGCAGTTATTAAGCAAACACTGCAGTGTAAAGCAAACACCAGGGTTGTTAAGTGAACATTAAATAAACCCGTTGTTTGCGATGGGATGTTTTTTGCAGGAAACTGGAAATAAACACTGGTTTCCAGCAAAATGTCCTAATTTGCAGTCATGTGACTTCAGAGTGCTGCAAATGGCCATAAATTCAGGCTGGTTGTTGAGCACCCAAAATGTGATCATGTGACATGGGGTGTGGATGGCAGAATGTCAAATCCAAGACAGAAGTAGCTTTTTGGGGGTCCATCATACTAAGCTACTGGCCCTACATCTAGGACTATCTATACTACATGCAACACTTGGCAGAAAGCTGGGCATGACTCAGAGAAGTATTATCTAACTTGATAACGATTATTAAATTTGATGGCAGCAAATTTGACAGTTTAATAGTGCATTAACTGTACTTGGCATCTCCTACATACAATTAGGTAGCTTAAAAATGAGCTATAGTTCTTCCCCACAGTGTCTTGGTAAATCATAGCTGTAAAGACTTTTCTTAACTAGATTTAATAATTTCCTTTGAATATCTGAGGAAAAAGGTAGTAAAATACATTTTAAAAAGTTTGGGGCAAGTTTACACAATGTGTTTATATCCTCATTACTGAATTAACTTGTTTTCCAGCTGGCAAAATTTACTGAATGGGCTTGGTTCACACAACATGCTGAGCCACAGAAAAAAATCTAACAAGGCTAAACTTAGCTAAGTTTAGCAGGCTGTCCAAATGCAACTGCTAGAGTTTTAACTAACCTGGTTAATGGTACAGCCCATAATGGTATAGCCCATTATGTGAATACAGCCTCTTGCATTCTTGTCCATGTGGTTTTGCGAAGCATACTGAAGAAAGAAATTCTTCAAAAGTAGAGGAGAATTGAATTATCATAGAAATGTAGCACTATAAGAAGGTAATGGAAAAAATCTTTCAAGGTCACGTTATGGTTACCTTTTTACCAGTTATGACATTTAAAAGCTGAAGTAGCCCCAAGTGTGGTTCCCAAGTTCCTTACCTATTTGTCACTCAGCTCAGCATGATGGCTGAAAGTTCCCCACGAATGGATGAACATCTTCTAGTCCAATCTATGCAATGTGATTAATGTTTCTCTTGCTGGATTGCTGTCTGCATTGTGATTGTGTCTATTACAGAAGCATCTATCAGAAAGCCAGTGGGGAATCAATCTTAAGTACCAAGCTGTCACCAAGTATAGAGGAGGAGGCAGGAAACAGAGGTGCTGTGGTGGTGCCGTGCTTTTCAGGCTATTCCGGGTGGTTTATCACAGCAGAAAGGGCTATTTATAAATTATGGGCAATAACTCCTTGAGCAGGTCTCTCTCTTGCCCAGGCTAATCAGAGATAAATCACTGCTCCTCTTTTTCATAATAGGTACTGCCCTTTTGCAAAGAATAATATACAACAGCAGAGACTTGGTATTGAGTTTCCAGCTATGCTGACAAGAGGGAGAAGTAAAGAGAAGCTGAGCTGAGCCAACAGGGAATATCTGTTTTCCAGGGCCAAATTAATCACAGCAATAAGCTTATCAACTGATCTATGCTTTGCTGTGAACATTCTTCTGAAACTCCTTCCAAGGTTGTATTTTTGCTGAAGTAACAGTATATAGACAGCTGCTGAGAGGATGGGGGGAGATGGTTTCAAGCTGCTATTTAAAATAATGATAATAGTGATAGTGGTACTGTTTGGGAGAGAGAGATGCCCAGTTATTACTAATAAATGTATATATTAAAAAGTTTGTTAGATCTTCCAGGTCATTTTACATGCATCAGAAAAATTACTTTGAGCACCATATCAACAGTGGGCAAGAATGGAGACAGAAATGTTGCTTACCTATAATGTGAACCTGGCTTTGCAAAAGAATGGATGGATGGATGGATGGATGGATGGATGGAATGTGTTCAGAGTCCTGACTTTTTTGTGTTTCTAAACCTTTCCAATGTTTATGCAGTTTTAGATTTTTTTTAATCTTGCCAATACTTTGCAAAATTAATTTTGAAGATCTCTCAGATTCATACCTTTAACAGGACATTTTATAAAGATAGGAAGTTACGTACATTCCATTTAATAATTGTGCTCTTGTCCTTTCATATCAAATTATTTATTTAATAAAACCTGTAATTCAATATGTGAGGCATTGGTCACATGACTGAGATCAATGAAGGATTAAATGTGGTCAAATAAGGTAAGACTTAATAGAAATGTTTGGTTACTACTGGATAAGGAAGCCCCAATATAGTAGCTGATGTGCCATCAACATACTTTCCTGAAGAAGGAATATTTGGCTATTTTAGTCACATGGGGCTGAACTGCTCCAATGCTCTTTATAAGAGGCAGTTTTTGAAAAGAACTCAAAAATTATAATTGGCACAAATAATTTCACATCTATTTGTTTGACTTCCCAGGTCCTCAAATTCCATGTTCTACCATTATCAGAAGCTCCATTGTTGGACTCACAAAATAGAGGATTTGTCATAGCACCCTGACCCTCAAATGCCTTGAGCTGGAAAATTCAGTGACTACCAGCCTTGTTGATATTCTGCTGATTATGAAAATTATCTGATTCCTTTTTTTATTCAGTCTCAAGATACTGGATTTCAACAATGCTCTATCTCGTGTGTATTACTCTTTATGCAGGATCCTGGTGGCCGGGACCAGGGGTTTTGTCTTCCAAGCTTTCAGATGCATGCTGGAGCCCTTCTTCAGGAAACTTCTCTCTATTGAAACTTCTCTTTAATTTGTTTTATATTTTTTTAGAACTTGCAAGTTGCTGCAATGGTTCCATATATGGGAAAGAAAGTTCACTATACAGATGATTTAATAAGCTGCATTGGTGCAGTGGTTGGAATGCAGTATTGCAGGCTGACTATGCCCACTGCCAGGAATTTGATCCTGAGCAGCTCAAGGTTGACTCAGCTTCTGTCCTTCCAAGGTTGGTAAATGAGGACTCAAATTTTTGCGGGCAAAATGCTGACTCTGTAAACCGCTTAAAGCACTATAAGATGGTATATAAGTCTATGTGCTACTGCTATTGCTATTAATCTATAAATCCTAAAGATTTAGCAATTGCAATAGAAACTTTAAAAACAGGCATATTATAGTAAATGTAATATAAAAGTTATGTCTTTTGGCAGGTAAAAGTTTTGTCAGGACAGGAGTGTATGTACTTTATTCAGGACTCATGGATTAGGGACTAAAAGTTTTCAGGTCTTCTGAACATTTTTCCTAAATGCTCAGTAGATCCTGACAGTGATTAAAACTTAGCATTGTATGTTAATTCCACTAATATCATCCATTATGAAATTGATTTTAAAATGCAGAATTTACAACTGAAATTCTTGGCTTATGTTATGATTGTTTTCACTTCCTACTTTTCAAAAACATCTTTTAAAAGTTTTGAAATCTTGCTTACAATTTATGCCATTTTGACTGATCTAATAATGAAATGGGCCTTAGAAAATCTGAGCAACAACAAAGCTAGTATTCCAGCTGAGCTATTCAAAATCTTAAAAGACGATGCAGTAAAAGTGCTACACTCAATTTGCCAGCAAATTTGGAAAACTCAACAGTGGCCACAGGATTGGAAAAGGTCAGTTTACATTCCAATTCCAAAGAAAGGCAATGCCAAAGAATGTTCAAACTATCGCACCATTGCACTCATTTCACATGCTAGTAAAGTTATGCTTAAAATCCTACAAGCTAGACTCCAGCAGTATGTGGATCGAGAACTACCAGAAGTACAGGCAGGATTTCGAAGAGGCAGAGGAACTAGAGATCAAATTGCCAACATACGCTGGATCATGGAGAAAGCTAGGGAGTTCCAGAAAAACACCTACTTCTGCTTCATTGACTATGCAAAAGCCTTTGATTATGTGGATCACAACAAATTGTGGCAAGTTCTTAAAGAGATGGGAGTACCATCTCATTTGTCTCTTGAGAAACCTATATGCGGGTCAAGAAGCAACAGTGAGAACCGAACACGGAACCACTGATTGGTTCAAAATTGGAAAAGGAGTCCGGCAAGGCTGTATACTGTCGCCCTGCCTATTTAACTTATATGCAGAGCACATCATGAGAAAGGCAGGGCTAGATGAATCAAAAGTTGGAATTAAGATTGCCGGGAGAAATATCAACAACCTAAGATATGCAGATGATACCACTCTAATGGCAGAAAGTGAAGAGGAACTAAAGAGCCTCTTGATGCGGGTGAAGAAGGAGAGTGCAAAAGTTGGCTTGAAACTCAACATTAAGAAAACCAAAATCATGGCATCCGGCCCTCTCAATTCCTGGCAAATAGATGGGAAGAAATGGAGGTAGTGACAGATTTTATTTTTCTGGGCTCCAAGATCACCTCAGATGGGGACTGCAGCCAAGAAATTAAAAGACGCTTGCTCCTGGGGAGGAAAGCTATGGCAAATCTAGACAGCATTCTAAAAAGCAGAGACATCACCCTGCCAACAAAAGTGCGTATAGTCCAGGCCATGGTTTCCCAGTTGCAATGTATGGCTGTGAAAGTTGGACCATAAGAAAGGCTGAGCGCAAAAGAATTGAGGCCTTTGAACTATGGTGCTGGAGAAGACTCCTGCGAGTCCCTTGGACTGCAAGGCGTTCAAACCGGTCAGTCCTAGAAGAGATCAACCCCGACTGCTCTTTAGAAGGCCAGATCCTGAAGTTGAAACTCAAGTACTTTGGCCACCTAATGAGAAGGAAGGATTCACTGGAGAAGAGCCTAATGCTGGGAAAGATTGAGGGCAATAGAAGAAGGGGACGACAGAGAATGAGATGGCTGGATGGAGTCACTGAAGCAGTAGGTGTGAATTTAAATGGACTCCAGAAGATGGTAGAGGACAGGAAGACCTGGAGGAACGTTGTCCATGGGGTCGCGACGGGTCGGACACGACTTCGCAATTAACAACAACAACAATAATGACATTACCCAATTCTGATTTTTTTTTCCTGTGGTCAGCATGAGTATGATAGCATTATGTCTTTTGATAGAAAGTTACACTTTTCTTATATGCACACTATTACGCCTCGTTAAAAAGGACAGTATCATTTTTGTGTGTGCAAGTCACAATGGAAAAATATTGAACAGGTTATTTTCTTTCAGTATGTGCTTGCTGTGAACTATTTATTTAGTCTCGATGTTCTTGTATTATTACAATATGTTCTACCCTTCCTTAATATATTTTCTGCAATAAGAAAAAGACCAAAGAAGTAATGAAGAAATAGACAATATACACCAAGAAGGGCAAAAAAAAAAAAAATTAAACCCTCAGTTTAAGTCTTGTTTGGAGGTACGATGAAAATATTGCTCTAGAACTTGCTGATCATATGAAATATATGCAATCTAATCTTCTCCCTTTTTAAATACGTAGCACCATTGCAAAGAAATGGTTTGATCACTAGGCTACCCTTATTATGGGAACACAAATCATTTATGCAACATATAATTTTCTGGTTTAATTTATTGCCTACTGAAAAGTATAATGTAATCACATCCATAGAATGCAGAAGAATGTGGAAATAAAGGGAAGTAGATCCTGACAGCTTTTTGATATCTTCAACTTCAACCACAGTTCTGATTCATTTAAATTTTTATATACTGGTAATTTTTACCTCACTCTTGAAGAAACATAGAAACATACAATCATGAGGCTGGAAGGCACCTCTGAGGTCTTCTAGTCCAACCTTCTACCCATGGCAGGTGACCTATACCATCCCGGACAAATGGACATCCAATCTTTTCTTGAAAATTGATTTTTACCTTGAAGTAAATATTAAGTCAAGATGAGGCTCTCTTTCATGAAAGCCTAGCTTCACTTCTTCCACAATAGGGTAAAGACAGTGTAATACCGCCCTGCATTATCGCTGGCCTCTTTTAAATGAAGATGGACAGGGGAGAAAGTTTTGCAGTTGCCCCCATGTGTGGCCATTTGTTTTTCTTAAACAACAGTGAAGACACAATGCTTAGTTCAGATGAGTTGGCTGCTGATTGTTTTCACTTGGCTGATTACTTGGAGAGAAGCACATGATTAGTTCATGGACTGTGGGGTGCTGTGAATCAGTTTTGCACAGTTTGGGAGTGAAAACTGTGTGGATGTGACTTTATTTTACTCAGGCACAATGGATAATCAGTCAGGCTCTTCTATTGGCAAAGTGCCACTATGACTGGGGTAATTGCCAGCACATCATAATGTTTTCTCAGAAACAGAACTGGGTGAGATCCAGAGCTTTTTTTCTATTAAAAAAAAAAGGTGCCGGAACTCACACATGTCATACAACCCGCCTTGCCTACCCTACAAGGTTCCATCCAAAAAAGGTGCCGGAACTCCATTCTGGGCATTCTATGAGAAAAAAAGCCCCGGTGAGACCAATTTCCAAGGGATGATCTGTCCTCCAATAATACAGC